AGCTGATGGTTTAGCTAAACAAGGGGCAGAAAGGGATTCACTGTTTTGGGCTAAGCTGTAACTTTAGTGTTTTTTCCTTTTCTTGAGGTCCTTTGTTGCTCTTGGAAGACAAGTGTGTTTGTCTTCCTCTTGTAAATCTTCTATTGATGATTTAATGAAAGTGTTATTGATCAAAGAAAAAAAAAAAGAAACTCCATTTACAGATCTTGAACCGAAGGTCGGCATTACATTTTGGATTAGACGATGGAGACATAGAGGACAGAGTCTTGCCTTTGGGAATAGTGACATCAATCCCATCGCATATAACCCTAATCCCGACCTTCTTAGTCTTGAGAGTCCCCACCTTCACCTTCACCTTCGTGTCCATCTGAATCTCCAAAGTAACTCGTTCTTTCTCCTCATATCTGACTTGAATGAATTAATGGACTCGACATCCAGAACGAGAATGATCCATTATCCATGCCATTGGAGTTCATGGTCACAGTGATGGGGTCGCAGAAGAAGACTATATTCTTGTTGGGATTTCAAGCTGAGATCGCGAGATCGAGATGAGAATTTAGGCAAGTAGTGGAGTCCTTAGTGGTGGTGACATTGAATCGGGAGATCCTCAGCATGGAGACAAAGAAAGTGGGGCACCATGGGTGATAGAGAAGATAGAGAACTCAGACGGCAATGGCGGCGAGGAAGACAAGAGTGATGATGAGGAGCGTACTCCAGAGGCAGCAGAGACAGCAACAACTATGGCGGTGTCGGTGGCACCTGGGGGGCTGAGACTGGTAAGCAGGGTGGTGGCACTGTAGAGTTGGGCTTTCGTTCTCTCTCCTTCCACCGGTGCACGCCCAGTTCGGTTGTGCTTATAGCTAGGCCGGTGATGTCTGTTGATGCCAGTGAGTTAGTTCAACATTAGAACCAGTTTGTTCCCTTAATAGAGAACCGAGTCCAACCTCTCCTTGTGCAAACCAAAGGGCATTTTAGACWGGTAAAGACTATTTTAGGAAGTTTGAACAATAGATCCATCATGTGATGTCACATGTAAATGGTTTATGACAGAGAGTTGACGGTAGGGGAGGTCTTAGACAATTGTCAGAAACAGTAGGGATTTTCCAAGACAATTTATAAACAGTAAGGGTAGAGTTTGTCAATTAGCTAAACAGTAGGGGCAGCTAGAGAAATTTTCCCTATTTACAATTATGATGTCTCAGTCAACCCAGTGGTTGAACCACTTGACCTGTGACTTAGTGGTCTTTCCGGTTCGGTGAATGGTTGAGCCTTACAACATTGCTCCATGCCGTTGGTTGGTTTTAAAAATGCATGAAAATCACTTAGGAGCAACAATTCCTAGTCCAGGGCATAGAATAGTAACTATAGACGGATAAAATAATCAAATTAAAAACGTAGTTGATACATTGCCACCTTCCTCTACAATTCCTGGTCCAGGGCATAAACACCAGATGGTAGGATCTGAAGGATAGGAGCAACATTGTTGTATGATAATGATCCAAAGGGTAAAAAACTGATCTGTTTTCCAATAACACTCCTAATGAAACCCATCAAAAGTTTAGAATTTATGGTTTAGGAGATTTCATGGGTAATGCTCATCAACTAACAAGGTCATTACCCAATGTTGGTCTTAGTTATCTGGGGTCTTAGGACAGGTAGAATGGGTACAGTCCTAACCTTTGGCATTTTTTTTCTTTCTGCACAAAGTGGCCACCCTCAGACTTGAACCCATGTTCTGACACATGCCAGCCCAAAATTTTACCATTATACCAAGTAATGGTCCCTACAGTGATACCCATCAACTGTTGGGCTCAAATCCACATGGAATGCTGATAAACACTTCAAACATAAATTGATCCAAAGGATACTGTTAATTTTCATAAAATTTTACATAAAAGATCAGAGAACTGGAAAAGAAATATGATGTTACCGTCAGCAGAAAACTGGCAAATATATATACTAGAAAATCAGGCAATGCATCTCCTTCTGCAAGATATGTGTCCCATAGACGTGTTACAAGGTGGAAAGGGATCTGTAAGAGGAAAACATATACATATATGAGTAAAGCCTGTAATGCTATTTTGGAAACTTGGGACTCTGCAACACGATGAAAGGTCAGTCCCAACCATAAATTCTATCTATAGTACCAAAACTGAAAAAGAAAAGTACAAATAAGAGTACAGTGACGTCGAGTTGATGAAAAATACCTCACGTATTAGAAGACAGTTGAACCAGCGGAAAGCAAATTGAAGAAACTCCAGTCCTTGCTCTTCCATGTGTCTTGAAACCGGTTCTTGTTGCCAAATAAATGAATTTATCAAAACAGGTTCTTGTTGCTCTTCTGTATACATATATATATATATACAGAAGAAACTATCTATAGACATTGATAGATACCTTTGTTAAACAAACTAGAACACACCATACTTCAAGGGATATCTATTGTTTGGGTTATTGGGTAAGCAATTAACAACATGATTTACTAGCAGCAGGAGACAGGATCAACCATTTAATGAATGTTCTTAAAGCAAAGACTAACTTTTTAGGCCCTCTAACTGATTACCATGATCAGGCAGAGGCAACTAAAGTATTGGAGTTGGGTTGCAGGGTATTTTATGTGTTTACCAAAGTTTATGAGATGTTTATTTAAGGCTATCTTGTATTTGACCTTTTTCTTCATTTGTCTTAGTAAATTTTCTTCCTTACAATCCAACCATTAGAAATACCTGTATGGACCATCAGTATTATGTTTATCAAGGTGCTGAATTTTGATGGAAGTTCTGTAGGTAACCTGATCCCTCTGGAGTTGGGGTATTTTTAGAGATGTGGAAGGAAGAATTTTGGCTCTTTTCTCTGGATTAGTTGGGCTGGGTGATTCGCTTAGGGCGGAGATATTGGCACTATTGCAAGGGCTCAGATTGGAAAAACAATTGGGTTTTCAGCAGCTGGAAGTGGAGGGAGACAAAACTGGTAACAGACTGGATGAAAGAAAACAGCTTAGGCAATTGGACTCTTAGACAACTGTAAGGGAAATTTGGAACCTGGTAAGGGAGCTTAGAGTACAGTTCAAATGGGCTAAAAGGTCAACAAATGCCTTGGCTGATGCTTTAGCAAAGCAAGGGGTTATAGGGAAACTTTATTTTGGGCATGTTTGTAAGACTGTTGTCATGTGGGGATCACTTTTTGAAGGTGAAAGTTGTAGTATCTTTTTTAAAATTTAATAAAAGTTACTGTTTCCAATCAAAAAATAAAAAAAAATGTCTTAATCATTTAATTGATAAATGAGAGACCTGGAAGTGAATACCCTGCCCCACTAGGATCCTGTAGCCATTTTTCTTACTTCATAGTGGTCATGGATCAGGATTTGGGTGCTGTCCATGAAGAAGTAATCAGCAATTTTGACATCCTGGTTGACAACAACAAGAGAGCTGAAAAGGTCTCCATAAGATTACGGTTAGAATACCAGAAAGTACCATCACCAACCCTATAGGTGATCCCTTTTGTTAATTCAACATAAGCTTCTTCTATGCCTTTCCACACCAAGCATCCAAATGACTTTTCTTACCCCCACGATAACATAAAGCCACTGAATGTTGGTCCAAGCTATCTGGGGTCTTGGAAGAAGTAATCAGCAACTTTTTTTTTTCTTTTTTCTTTTTTTTTTTTTGCGTGAAGCAGCTGCCCTTAGACTTGAACCCACATTCTCATGCTTCCCAGCCTGAGATTTTACCATTACACCAAGTAATGGCCCCTCATCCCCCAAAAAAATCAGTAATCTTCTTGAAGTAAATAAAAATAAAATGACAGATCCTAGTGGAACAATAAGAGAAGATCAAGAGAATTGTAGGAATGCAATGTATCTTAGCTGCTCATCTGGAAATTGAAGTTGAAATACTTCAATAAGAGTGATGCTATGGTCTATCCATGATATAATTGTTGATGATATATGTAGTTTTCTTTTCATTCATTGGTGATTGGTGCTTATTGGAGTCTGTGCCCTGTAGGCTGAACCGCCTTTTGATCAATAAGAGATTTTAATGAAGTCAAACTTGAATATTACAGCAAGGTGGAAAATTTCTCTACCCCAAACGACAACTTTATAGATTTGCCCAAAACATTTGATGCTTAATTGCCCCTTGTTTAGCCAAAGTATCCGCCATCCCATTTGCTGTTCCTCTCACCCAGTTAAAAGCAACATTCAAGAAATAATCACCTGAGAGTTTCCTTCCACCTCCAAATTGCTTTATAGAGGATGCACATGTGAGGGGAAAGGCACTTATTTGGCCTTTGTTTCTATAGAATGTCACAAGTGTTAATCTTTCCAAGGAAAACTTCCCAACATAGGGCTTGAAATTTAGGAGAAGATTGGCTTACTCCAAATTTCTTTCACCGAGAAAGTCACCCCCGGGATAGTTGGTTGAATTAAAAAATTGAAGCATGAAGCACAAGTTAAAAAGCCAGATAGAGAAATTGACCAAACCTTGGTATCCTCTACATTTTGATCTGAAAAGACTTTGTCAAATCTGGTCAATAGAAGGTTGAGATATTCAAACTCTATTTCCCTAAGACCCCTCCTGAATCCATGGTCCCAATTTAAACTTGAGGCAGAGAAGTTTACAAACTTAGAAAAATTGTAATTTGAGAGTGCACAAAGCATTGGAAATTGGACCTTTAGTGGTTGGTTACCTATCCAAAGGTCCTCGTAGAACAAGACTCTTAGGCCCCATTCGTTATTGTTTTGGCCATTTACTCAGGTAAGTGTACTTACCTATGTTCTTTTATTTCCTAGGTGAGTGAGATAAAGACTATTTTATCCTTAAAAAGACAAAATTTGAAGGTATAATATTGTCCCATCATGTGTTGGCAACTTTTCCCTTAAGTAGAAAAGTTACCCACCCTGGAGAAGGGTATCACTTACTTGGGTAAGTAATACCTAGGGAAAGTAACTTTTCTATGGGCCCTGCATGAATTGCAAAAAGAACATGGGAGTTTTGGTTAATGGAAACCATTTTCCCATTGACCAACTCCTCACCCCCCCACAACATTTACTGAAAAACAAATTGGGCCTTAGTCCATTACCCACATCATACCGTATAAGGTTAAGAAAAAAGGGATATACCTCATAAATTGCTTTCCATGCAGAGATTGAAGTTTCATTTGGAGCTACCTTTGCATCCAAACCAATGTTCGAGCTACCATGTAGGCTTTCAATAACCTTGTTCCAGAGCCTATCTCTAAGGTAAACCTCCACAACCACTTTCCTAAAAGAGCTGAATTCTTTTGGACTAAATTTCCTTTCCCAAGCCCACCCTTCTGTTTAGGTTTACTAACCTGTTCCCATTTCAACAAGTGGTCTTTCTTTCCATCCCCAAGTTCCCAAAGAAATCCCTCATTAACTTTTCTATGGGTCAATGGATCATTAGTTCAACCGTCTGGGTCAATAGATCAACCTGCGTGTAATCATTATAAAAAAATCAATAAAAAATTAAAATAATACAAAAACTAGAAACCAATTGTATGGATTGGATGGGTCAATAGTTCAACTATCAAAGTCAATGAGCCATTGACCGAGTAAATAGCTTTTGTGACATGTCAAGTTAGAGGTTGACCTGAACTGGTATTGACCGGATCAATGATAGGTAGAATAACATTTGTTTGAATTTACTACCTTAAATACTCTTTATCTATCATGTCAAGAATGGACAATGTGATTTTGGATTAGTATGAATTGTTAAATTCACAGGTTGTGAATAACTTAAAATCATTCAAAAGGTTGATTTGTGACATATTATACTTCGGTGTGTTTCGAAACAATGGTTCCTGATATCCAGTTAGTTGATTTTATATTAAGGAGATTTTTACTCATGGTACCACTAGGGATTTCAATGGATTCTAAAAGTATGGATCCAGTCTGATTATTTCTTTTGGATTTTAGAATCTGAATCATTTTAATAACTGGACTAGATGTGGATTTAACCCTATCCAATCTAGTTAAGATCTAAGTCCTATTACGTACATATATACATATCAATATCTATATCTATATACATTTATTACTATATAATTATATAAAATTTATGACTAAAAGTTTAACATTTTTAGTCTCTCTATTTTAAAGAAAATAAAGCAGACTTGTATTAAATCCAAATGTGATGTGACTCCCTGCAAGGATTCAAATCTGATCCGAGACCACTAAATCCGATAAGATTTTGGATCAGATTAAGATTTACGCTAGCAATAATCCGATCAAATTTGGATGTGTCTGGATATGAGCCAGGTCCAACCCACTTACAGCCCTAGCTGTTATATACTAGCATAGTAAGATCAAAATAAAACTAAAGAATGAAAAGAAGCAGATATAAATGCTGTCAAAGCCTAATCTACAAGGGTTCTAATGTATACATTATAGAAATTTAGTGTGTATTGTATGAATACTATGAATAAACCCTAGTTGATTCTAGGTCAAAGTAGAGAAGAAAGAAGAAAGAAAAGAGAAAGAAGAAGAAGAAGAGTATTCAGCCAGACTAGAAGAGAGAGTGTGAAAATCATCCTCTCCTAGCCGACCCACTTGAATTTTATTCATAAAACTTAGAGTTACAAGAAAGACTATTTTGTCCCTCATAGAAGATGGGACACATAACTTAAACTCAGATACAATAGACCTTTCACTTTCAAGAAGATAAACCAGAATGACCAAAACACCCCTGACTCGAGCATTCTAACACTCCCCCTCAAGCTGGAGAGTATATATCATATA